TCGATGCTTCTCTCTCATCGATGTTTCTGACTCTCTATCCCTCTCCCTTCTTCTCTGTAAAAAATCAATAAAATATATTTTAAAAAAAGAGATAGAAGAAGATATAAACAAGTGGAAGAATGTCCCATGTTTATGGATTGGTTGAATCAACATCATTAAAATGTCCATACTACCCAAAGCAATCTATACATTCAACGCAACCCCTATTAAAATACCAACAGTATGTTTCACAAACTTGGAACAAACTCTTCAAAAATTTATACACTATATAATAAAGACTAATATGCAAATTGTCCCCTCAAGCAGGAGTTCGGGAGTTTGACCAGGGGGCAGGGCCGGCGGCCAATGAACCGCAGCCCCTCGACCCCATTGGCCCCATCCCTGATCGGCCCACCCCACCCCGATCGGGGGTGGGGCTGGCTGGCCAACCATTTGTGGCCCCTCTTCCTGGCCCCAATCGGCTCCAATCGGGGTGGGCCAGCCAGACCCCACCTGTGCACAAATTTGTGCACCAGGCCTCTAGTGAAATAATAAAAAAACAACCTGAATAGCTGCAGCAGTCCTGAGAAAAAAGAACAAAGTTTGAGGGATCACAATACCAGATATCAAACTATATAACAAAGCCATGGTTCTCAAAACTTCCTGGTACTGGCACAAGAACAGACATATAGACCAATGGCACAGAATAGAGAACCCAGAAATCGACCCAAGCCATTATGCTCAATTAATATTTGACAAAGGAGGCAAGAGCATACAATAGAGTCAAGACAGTCTCATCAATAAGTGGTGCTGGGAAAATGGGTCAGATACATGCAAAAAAATGAAACTAGACCACCAACTCACACCATACACAAAAATAAACTCAAAATGGATAAAGGACTTAAACGTAAGATGGGAAACCATAAAAATTTTAGAAGAATCCACAGGCAGCAAAATGTCAGAGATATGTAATAGTAATATCTTTACCAATATAGCTCCTAGGGCAATGGAAACTAAGGAGAAAAAAAGCAAATGGGACTACATCAAAATAAAAAGCTTCTGTACAGCAAAATAAACCATCAACAAAACAACAAGAGACTCTACTCCATGGGAGAACCTATTTGCCAATGTTATATCTGCTAAGAGTTTCATCTCCAAAATTTATAGGGAACTCATACAACTTAACAAAAGGAAGATAAACAACCCAATCCAAAAAATGGGCAAAAACCTAAATAGACACTTTTCAAAAGTGGACATATCGAAGGCCAAGAGACATTTGAAAAAATGCTTGAAGTCACTAATCATCCGAGAGATGCAAATCAAAACAACAATGAGGTATCATCTCACACCTGTCTGAATGGCTATCATCAACAAATCAACAAAGGACAAGTGCTGGAGAGGATGTGGAGAAACAGGAACCCTCATGCACTGCTGGTGGGAATGCAGACTGGTGTAGCCACTGTGGAGAACAGTATGAAATTTCCTCAAAAAATTAAAAATGAACTTCCATTTGACCCAATAATCCCACTTCTATGAATATATCCCATGAAAACAGAAACATCGATCAGAAAGGACATATGCACCCCTATGTTCATAGCAGCACAATTTACAATAGCTAAGATTTGGAAATGGCCGAAGTGCCCATCAGCAGATGAGTGGATTAGAAAACTGTGGTACATCTACACAATGGAATACTACGCTGCTGTAAAAAAAGGAGTTCTAGATACAGAGACATAGAAGCATTGAACCAACCATCAAACCTCAGAGGGAAGGCAGGGAAGGGAGAGGGAGGGGATAAGAGACCAACTAAAGGACTTGTATGCATGCATATAAGCATAATCCATGGACACAGACAGTAGGGGGGTGAGGGCATATGCTGGGGGGTGGGAGTGGCCAGGGAGAGGTCAATGGTGGAAAAAGGAGACATTGGTAATACTTTCAACAATAAAGAATTTAAAAAAAATTTTTTTGAAAAAAAAAAAAAAGGTGGAAACATGCAATGCCTAGTGTTGAGCAGAGAAGCCCTGAGGATGGAGTTGGGAAAGCTAGACAAAACAAAAGGTTTTTCTTTTTGAAATGGCTCCTTTGCACGTCAGGCTGTAGGCAGGGTATTGAAGAATTCAAGTATGGAAGAAAACATTTGGTAGACCCTGGGAGCTGAATTTCACTGTTTTGTCTTCTAGAAATAAAATGATTTTTTTTCTTTCTCTATTAAAGAGTTTCAAAAAACATGTTTTATATTATCAAAGCTATACATGCTCATTATAAGAAAGTTGACAAATACAGAAAAGTAGGAGGAAAAGGAAAAATTCATTTGGTTCCAGCACCTAGAGATGGCCACTATTAATATTTTGCATAATTCTTTCTAGCCTTTTTTTCATGAATATCTCCCCATTTCCATTAATTGTGATTATATTTTGTATTAAATGTTGTATCCTACTTTCAATTAATATTAGACACAAGCATTTTCTTGTCATTATGAACTATGTGTAAACACAGTAGTCCCCATTATCTGCCAATTTGCATTCTATGATTTCAGTTACCTAAGGTCAACTGCAGTTGGAAAATATTAAGTGGAAAATTCCAATAATAAACAATTCATAAGTTTTAAATTGTGTGCCATTCTGAGTAGTGTGATGAAATCTCATGCTTTCCTGCTCCAATCCATCCAGGATGTGAATCATCCCTTTGTTTAATGTATCCATACTGTAAATACTATCTGGCCATTATTAATGTCTGGCTTTCTAGATTATCAGATCAACTGTCATAGTACTGCAGTGCTCGTGTTCAAGTAACACTTATTGTACTTAATAATGGCCACAAAATGCAAGAGTAGTGATGCTGGCAATTTAAATATAGCAAAGAGAAGCCATAAAGTGTTTCCTTTAAATGAAAAGGTATGTATAGGAAAAATAAAATCATAGTATATACAGGGTTCAGTACTATTTGTGGTTTCTGGCATCCCCTGGGTGCATTAGAATATATCTCTCATGGACAAGGAGGGACTACTGTGCCAGTTTTACTGGCTATATAATATTCTGGGTCCCGTGGTGTGCCCCAGACTCTGACAGGAGGAAGATTTTCAAACCTTTGCCAATCTCATTATTATTCCAGTTCGCTCTTCTTTTATTATGCTGAGTGAATGTACCAGTTGTGTCCCTGTGTGAATTTAGTCTTATGTCCTTTGCTCAAAATGTTTCTATTTTAGACGGACATTTTTCTTTGCCATAAAAGACGGAAAGTCAAATGATCAGAATGGTATCATATTTTATTTCCCCACATTATATGGTCTACTCTAGAGTCGTCATCTTCCTAAAAGAACACGACAAAAGTTTGATAACTTTTGGCTCAGTTGAGTGGCAGAGGCAGGTAATTTATCATCTGAGAGAGTGATCACAGATGGAAGTGAGAGCGGGGTCAGGTCTAGTCTTAGACCCTTATCTTTAGTCCTCAAGCGCCCTTTTCTAACCTGGGAGGACATCCGTCCAGTGCTTTAAGGCTTTGGCTCCAAGAGCTCTCCTTGGAGCGGCGCGATCCCCCACCAAGGAGCCCGGAGCCCTGTGCGGCCCCTTTAAGAGTCCAGCTCCTCCCAGCTCCAGGGAAAGTTGCAGCTTTTTCCGCCTCCCAGGAGGGTGAGAAGGGCCGGCCGCCTGAGCGAGATTGCAGTCTTCCCGGAGCTGTAGACCCTGTTCTGAATCGGACACTGGGACGTCTCGCCCTCTCGTGGCACCTGTTGCAGGTGACAGGTAGGTCCGCGGCCAGAGGCCGCCACTTCGCCGGGCCCCCACTCCTCCCGGGCCCCCAACCCCTTTTCGCTGCGCCCCCACCCCCATCTGAGGGACCGGCGCCCTTCCCAGTCTTTCCTGTCCCTTCCCCTGCCTGTCTCTCTGGACCTCAAGCCCCAAGCCTCCACTCCTGTCTGCTTGGGATGATCCCTCCCCGCAGTTGGCTTTCTCCCGGGCCCCTTCCTTTCCCGGCCGTCGCTAAGGCGGGCTGTGCCCCTCTGACCCGCCTGCGAGCTGGGGCACGTCCCTGGGGCGGGGGTGGGGCCGAGTTCCTAGCGGGAGCTGCGCCCTCGGAGGCGTCGAGTCACCTTACGCTGGGTCCTCTGGCAGCACCCAGCCTTTCCGCGTGGTCTCAGCCCCGCGCTTCTTCCGGACAGGCGGACGGGCCGGGCTTGGCCGGGCTGACGTCTGGTAGCGTTTGCTTCCTGGGCCGGCCAGCCGCAGGTAAAGGCTGCTGGCCCCAGTCCTGCCTTAGTGGGCTTCCTCAGTGCTTGGGGCCCGGACGCAGCTGTGTGCTCTGGAGCTGAACTGCTTTTTCTCACCACCCTTCAAGCAGGCTTCAAGGATTTGCTCCTGGAGGAGGGTCCCCAGAACCCTTCTGTCTTCTGTGATGGTTTGTAAAGGGGTAGATGAACGCCTTCAGCCCTTAATGTAGAGTGAAATGGTTGATTTTTTGGTGGGGAAATCATTTGGTTAGAACAAGTGATTGAACAAATGATCTGTTTCTCATTAACTAACCTCTTCTTCCCCCAGTACCCTGCTTCTTCAGAACCAGAGGACCTAGCATTCCAGAATACAGCCTTTACCAGGGTTGGCCCTAGACCTTGAACATTTGTGGCAGAAATTAGTCTTCAGTACATCCTAGACCTCCTAGTTTTAATTGGCTTCTTTTCCGCTTTTTCAGGTTCCCACCTCCACCCTTCAATAAGTCCATTAATATTGCGGTATTATTGACCTAATGTGTTTACCGCTGGTTTGTGGAGAGAACAATGTCTGATGCAAAGAATTGGGGCCCCGAGGAAGTATTTTGTTGTAGTTGACTTTTTTTTTTTAGCACCTGCTGGAATTCCTAGTAGGAAAAGACCACCAACTTGGTATTCGAGACTTTTCATGGCAGGGGGTGAACATTTCTGGTAACACAGCTTCCAGGTAATAGCTCTAGGTCAGAGTATGTTGAGGGATAATTGGTCTATGAGCATATGTAGCATTCTGGATGATACTCTCCGAGCTTTTCCCCTTAAAGGCTGCTACTAATAATGGTTGTTAGAATCCACTGAGCCAGGCATTTTGATAAATTCTTGACATAATTATATAATCCTCATAACTCTATGCAGTAGGCACTACAGTTATAACTGTGTTGTGATGAAAAAGAGACTCAAAGGTTAAGTGCCTTGCCCCAAGTCACCTAATAGATGAGGGGCAGAGCTGGGTCATCTGACTGAACTGCTGTGTTCCTATCCCCTGTCACACCACCTCTGCTGTATTAGATGTTAGAAACACTAAATAGCTCACAAGTGAGGACAAATGATTAAAAATTTCCCAAGCTGAAGCATACATAAGTTTTGGTCCTTGATTCCACCCTGGATGCACTGTGGAGACTTTGGACCATTTCCCTCACTGGTGTCTTACTCACTTCACCATTTCACTTCCAATAGGGGTCCAGTCGCCACATTGCCACCATAAGCACACAGCCCTGAATGTACCTAGCTGAATGAAACATCTGGGGCTCTTAGCTCAATAGTAATTGTCCTGAAGTTAGGAATGGGTAACTCTGGATTCTAGGGATATGTGTTCTTGACTCAACTTCTTCCTTTTTTGCTGGCTAGGGGAGAAATGAGGATGTGGTATGTGAAAAGGATTCCCCAACAGCCAGTCCAGAGAGCCTGAGGGGGAGTGTTTGCTTGTTTTATGGTGGGATGGGAGGGGTACCTTAGGCAGGGACAGTCCAGTAGAAAATGTACTCCTTGATCTCACCTTTGGGCCTTTGTTCAAACTTCTCCTTTTTCCCCCCTGAAAAGCTAACTTGCTACCCATACCACTCCCCTGCCATTAAATCCTATTCATCTTTCAAGATTTAGCTCTAAAGTCTCTCATTTTGTTTACACCTCAGGAAAGCCCTTAACCCCTTCCCCGGCAGAAACGTGTATACACGTTTTCACAAAATGTTCTTTTTTCAGTCGTCGACGAGTATACTCGTCTAAAACTTTACCTTCAAAAACCAGCTACATACGTACCATTCTAAATAATTTCATCTAGAAACTTTCTGAGGAAATACTATTCTTAACCACAAAAATGGGAAGAAAAAATAATTACAAACTGTTTTCATAACCAGCATCAAAAATACTATATAGAACCAAAATAAAAAAATTAGTCTGAAAAAGAAACGTTTTTAACAAAAAAATTGTTGGGGAAGGGGTTAATCCCTGTCTTAATTGTTTTTTCACCTGGAACATTCTAACCTCTTTAAGGGCAAGGTCTGGATCATAGAGCTCCCTTTGTTTTAAGCACAAGAAATTAACAAATATCTGTGCTAGGAACTGGGGATACCAAGCCTTCAAGAGCCTGAGGTCTGATGATGGTGGGGTTGAAGTACAAAAGAGGCACTTTAAATCCGACAGCTAGGAGTTTGTACTTAAATGTCATCTCCGTGGAACCTTCCCTAATTATGTTTAAACTTGCAACCCTTCCCTGAACATCCCATGTGCCCCTTCCTTACCTTATTACTATAATATATCATAGTGTGTATTTCATCCATTTTTCTTTCTTATTGTTTGTTCCTCTCCCCTCTCCATAATGTAAGTTCCATGTGGTTAGGGTTTTCTGTTTGTTTTATTCACCAGTGAACCACTGCATCCATAAGGGGGCCTGGCACATAGGTGCTTACTAATATTGTTAAATGAATTAATGCATGACATTAATGTTCTAGGAATCAGCACTTTTTTTTGTGCCCTCCTGGAACTGAAATCGAGGGAACCCTGGCTGTCACCCTACAGCTGTAAGGTTGCCCTGGGCCAGTTCTCACTGTTTTCCTTCTGAGTTTTGCTTTGAGATTGCATTCCTGATAACAACTTTGACCTAGTTGGAAGTACTTCCTCTCTCTTTTTTAAGGCATGAGTCTCTGAATGGAAACTTCAAAAGTTTAAAGTGGAAATGTAAAGATACTGTGCTTCAGGTGGATAGGGAGGGAGGCTGCACTGAGAGGATGGGGTGTGGATTGTCAGATGCCTTGAGGCATTGTAGGCATTTGGTGAGCTCAGTAGAAGCTGGAGAAAGTTACTGTGCAATAGGGAAGTGAACAGCCGAAAATAATAAAAGATGCCACAAATTAAGCATCTGGTCTCAAGTCACCTTTAGCCTTTTAGGCCTGAGGTAGTTACTGGATTATGAATTTATGGAAAAGCCATTGCTGAGCATTGTATAGTACTTGACTAGTTTTTTTAAGTTGATTTTTAGAGAGGGAAGGAGGAAAGACAGATACACGCACACACACACACACACACACACACACACACAGAGAGAGAGAGAGAGAGAGAGAGAGAGAGAGAGAGAGAGAGAGAGAGAG